TCTACCCAGGGGGACAGCTTGAGGCTCCGTCTCAAAAAAAAAAAAAAAAAGCCCAGACAAGGTGAGTCCTGGATGCTGGGATGCAGCCATCTCCAGCCTCTGATCACAGCCCAGGCACAAGCTACCCTCTCTGCTCACCCAGACGCCTGCCTTCCCACCTGACTGTTCCTCTAAGACCTATCAGGTTGGTGAGGACCCCTCAGAACACTGACTGGATGACATTATCAGGAATCAAACCTGCTGTTTGGGCCCATTTTCTAGGTCTTAGCAAAGCTCTATGTCACCCAAACCCTGTAACTTGGCTTTAAAGATGGTGAGGAGCAGAGGACATGAATGGGGACCAAGGCTGCACTCTCATCAGTCCTGGTCAGAGGTGTCCGTGTGTTAACGTTCCCTCATGACGGGTCACCCGAGGAACTAAGTAAGGGTGCTCCCAGCTCATTGTACCCTCACCACACCCCGGAGAGGAGCCATGGCAGAGGAGTCAGGAAGTCAGCCCTGTGGGGCTCAGTGACAGGGATATCCCAAAACACCCAGCCCTCCATAGTCATAGGGCTCAGTAATGAGGATATCCCACAAACACCCACCTCTCTACAGTCCTTGGGGTTCAGTAAAGAGGACGCCTGACAACCTGATTCCCCCACAGTCCTGGAGCTCAGTGAAGGGGATACCCCACAAACACCTGGCCGCCCACAGTCATAGGGCTTAGTAATGAGGATACCCCACAAACACCCAGCCCCCGCACAGTCATACAGCTCAGTAATGGGGATACCCCACAAACACCCAGCCCCCCATAGTCATAGAGCTCAGTAATGAGGATACCCCACAAACACCCACCCCCTCTACAGTCCTTGGGGTTTAGTAAAGAGGATGCCCGACAACCTGATTCCCCCATAGTCCTGGAGCTCAGTGAAGGGGATGCCCCACAAACACCTGGCCCCCCACAGTCCTGGGGGTTCAGTGATGATGAAGACCCCATAAAGAAAAAACAAGAGGGCCATAGCTGCTGGGCCTGGCCACCACGCACCTGGGGACACTGGTGAGATAGGTCATGACATTCTGGAACTCCTTGTCTGGGATCTCGCTGAAGGCTGGGTAGTCAGGGAAGGTGATGACTGGGCTTCCGTCCTGTCCCCGTCCACCTGCCGAGAAACCACAGTGGACTTGTGTCACAGGCCCTGAGACTTCCACAGAACGTCAGTCACTTTTCAGATTCACCAAGTGTCTCAGTTAAAAGCAAGGCGTGTTCTCTGTTGCCACGTGGTGTTTACTGTGAAGGAGGTGCAGGCTCATCATGAGAAGAGCATGGGGAAAGGAGAGTGAGGTGAGACGGCTCTAGACCACCACACTGCTCCGCCGGCCTGGGGCAGCCACCCTCACACTTCAGCACATCCCTTTCCAAACCTTTTCTGTGTAATGGAGATGCACACCCAAGCCTGCACCCTTCCTCCTTCCTGATACTGTGAACTGAACCATCCCCACGCTCTGTGAATGATGCTGTCACCTGAACTGCTGCACAACACGCTATGCGGGGTGGTGTCCCATTGACTTCCTGTGTCCAGGGCACATGCAGCTTTTCCTCTGTCCCACTTTCTACGCAAACCACCTCTGAAGGGTAGCACCAGAGCACAGACCCGGGTGCCCAGCATGCCTGCCAGAGACAGCCACGGTTCCTGTCACACCCCCTCCCCCCCCCGGGTGAGACTCATTCATTCCTGCCCCACAGGCCCAGGTATGGGGCAGGACAAGGCAGAGATGATGCGGTGTGGCCCTTGAGACCCTGTGGCTACCCTCCTGGTCCAGGGGCCCTTGCAGAGGCCATCCTGTGCAGTGCCCTGTACCTACCACGCGGGAGGTGGCCCACGCACTGCTGGGCAGGGGATTCGTGCAAGAGCAGGGGGTGCTGGGGGCGTGAGGGAAGGCCCTAGAAGGTGCTGGCCTTCCTTCTGTGTGGATGTGACCTGCCAGTGCCTCTGGGTACAGAACCACCCATGAGCCCTTTACCAGTAGTTTCCCCAAAGAACCAAAGACAGACCGGGGGCGGGGGGTGCTGCTTCCAGCTGCCAAGTTGGGACCTTACTGTGTAGGACAGGTAGCCTTGGGTGTCACCTTGTCTCTGCCTGCCCTGAGAAGGCCCCGAGTGACAGTGCAGGGTACAGGCAGGACACAACGACATGGCTTCCTCTGTCCTCACACCTCTGGCAGCCCCTGCAGTGGCCTGGTCGTCATAGGGACGTCCTTGGCCATCCAGGGACCTCATGAAGGGCACCACACAAGGGCACAAGCCTGGCCATGTCAGCCTTGCCCTCAGCAGACATGACTCATGGCTCAGACCATTAGGCATTTCTGGTCACTTCTTGCGAGCACATCTCCTCCTAGCTAAGTCCTGACCCCTGGGTGGGCTCCTGTGCAGGTTGGTCCCCAGAGGCTGAGCCCAACTGGCCTCCAGACAAGACTGGCAGCACTCGGCCCGAGGCTCGGTCCCTGCAATCCTGAATTCTAAGTCCACAAACTGCTCTCAGTCCCTGCTGATTACCCTCCTCTGAACTTTCTCAACTGTCTTCAGAGGCTGAGCGATCTGACTTCTAGGCCCTCCACCCCCCACCCGTCTATGGATAGCACACAGGGCCTGCACAATGCGAACAGACTGGGTCTGTTACTCAGTGACCCCCACACCCCTAATTCTCACTTCCTCTTAGAAAGGTCCTCAGGGCTAAGGAGGAGGGGCGAGATGCAAACACTGAACCATTGTTCCTGTTGTCTGGCCACGAGAACCTGCCCTCGGACATGACTGAGATGGGATCAGGGCCTTCTGGGGTACAGGCCTCCGTCTCACTTCACTTGGCACTTGAAGCTGTGATCAGGAGACTATGGTGACTTTTTGGCTGTAATTGGAGATAAGAGTTTCCTGCTGAGATGAGACAAGGAGAGCCCAGAAAATGGGACATGGTGGGAGCATCCAGAAGACTCCACATTGGCCAGAAGCCATTGTGTGCAGCAAGGCAGACCAGAGGCTGAAGGGGATCCTTCAGCCATGGATTCCTTTGGGAATGAGAACCTCAACTCACTCCCTGACGTGGTGGCAGTTGGGGGCCTGGAGCAAATGGTGGACATAGAAGGTGGAGGGCAGCTGCCCCCTTGGGGCATCTTCGGGGCAGGATGGCCCAGGAGACCTCTTGGCAAGGTTTGAGCAGCTGCCAGGCACTGAGGGGAGAGGATGGGGACAGGTGACACCAATGGCGATGCTCCTGTCTGGGGCAGAAGGAAACCCTGGGAACCCACAGGGTCAACTACAACTCTGAGTCTAGCAGGTCAGAGAGTCCACGTGGGGCATGGACCTGCCTGAGGCCCTAGGACGGCAAAGCTGACGCTGGGCTGAAGGCAGGGACCCTTCAGCAGGCCTGGCTGAGGATTCGGGGTGGTTGTTGCCCAGGGCACTCTTCAGCCCCGGGTATAAGCTGCCCCATGAGTGCCACCCTCAGATGGACTGCCCAGCCTCTCCCTGCTCTGGCGTGGGGGTGTGGTATCTGCCAGTTTCTCTACAGTGTTTGGATCTGAGGTGGGAGTGTGGGCAGGCTTACACATCAGTTCACCTGAAGTAAAAATTGCACCATAAAATTGCCTGTGAATGGGCAACAGCGTGTCCCATCCAGGCAGGGATACCCAAGGGCAGCATCCCACTCTGCCTTCCATCTTCTTAGAAAGGTGCAGGGACTGTGCCATTCAGCTGGATTCAACTGCATAGGTAGCATGGGTCCCAGGAGCCACTTTGGGGGTTCTAGAATTTGTCCCAGGCAGTTGGATGGGAAACCAGGGACCTGTTCTTCCTTCTGTGTGAAGGGTGTCAAGAGAGGGAACCCTGGTCTTTCTGCTGCACTTCTGGAGCCCTGGAGCTCCCAGCACCCCCAGGGTATGTAGCAGCTAAATACCTCACTGGAAGCAGAGCTAGGGCACACCTGCCCTCCTAAGAAAACTGTCTGGCACAAGGACGCCTCCAGGAAGGACACTGCAGCTGACAACACTGAGAATGAGCGCCACTCTCTGCATCTATACCGCAGGGCTCGTCTGTGCATGCGGGGCTCCTCTCTGCATGTAGGGCTCTGAGGTTCCCCAAGCGTGGTTCAGGACAAGATCCCATCCACACTGCATCTAATTCTTTAGCCCAATCACGGGAGCTGGGGCTGCTTCCTGGGGGGAGGAAGGTGGCTGGGAGCCGCACTTCCCATCTCCTGTCACCCGTAAGTGGTGTGGTCCTGGACAACCTCACATCAGCATTGCACAAATGCAGGATGTGTCTTCATTCGGCACCACCTACTCCTATGAGGAGCAGCTTTCTAGTTTCCACCTGGCTTTCGGGTGATTATATGCAATCACTGCCGACCTGACAGACAGGAGTTTAATTTTCTTTGTTAAGCTCATTACAAAGCCCAGAGATCAGCAGCTTGGAGGTTTGGTGGGCTGGCCTGGGGCTGAGCCACGTGGGCTGCACAGGAGGACAGGCCGGTCTGTGACCAGGAGCCACAGACTCCCATGAGAGCAAAACAGCTCCTTAGTGGGAATTCTCCACGCAAAAGTCTCTGGCAGCTGACTTCCTGAAGGGGTGACCCCTGGGCTACACTGGCTCCTCAGCTTGGGGCTGTGGGGCCCCTGAGCACCCGGAGAGCTCTCTGGCCCCCTGAGGCTGCTGCACTGGTGTCTCACTCACCGCACACTCTGCCCTGGGGACCTATGGATGTCTGGACACAGTTCTGGGAGTCACAGCGGGAGTGAGGGCTATGTCTAAGGTGACACGTGAGCTCTCTGTGGGCTTTAACCTGCCTCAGCATCACAAGATGCCTTGTACCACCGAAGGAGGTGGCTCTGCAGATCTGAGAGTGACCACCTGCTTTGTGCTTGGGGTGATGCTTAGTGACACCAGTCCTGGGACACAGCTGCAGGGCTGTGAAATCTCAGCACACGGCTGAGGACATAGTGAGGCAATGTGGCAAACCATGAGTCTGAGGTGTGCTGAGGTGTCTATCGAGCCCCTCCAATCCTGTGGAGGGAACCCCGGGAACCTGCCAGCCTGGTGTGCCAAGGGCCCCAGAAACCCACGCTGACCCCTCAGGACTTCTGGGCCCTGAGGGTGGGCTCAGCTGTGGGAGCTGGGGTGCAGCCATGAGCCAGCTGGCCCTAGAGGTGCCTGCATGCTAACAGGAGGGACACACAGCACACTGATGTGCGTCACATGGACAAGTGGGGAGCGAGTCGGAGCCACGATGAGGAAGGAGCAGGTGTGGAGGCCACGCCCTGAGAACATGCATCCACTGGTATGAGGCCGCCCTGAGGGCAGGAGGAAGGCGTATGTGTGTGTGTGTGTGTACACGGTTCAGCTGGAGCGAGGCCGCCCTGAGGGCAGGAGGAAGGAATGTGTGTGTGTGTGTGTGTGTGTGTGTGTGTGTATACGTTTCAGCTGGAGCGAGGCCGCCCTGAGGGCAGGAGGAAGGCGTATGTATGTATGTATGTATGTATGTGTGTGTGTGTATACACGGTTCAGCTGGAGCGAGGCCGCCCTGAGGGCAGGAGGAAGGAATGTGTGTGTGTGTGTGTGTGTGTGTACACACGTTTCAGCTGGAGCAAGGCCACCCTGAGGACAGGAGGAAGGAGTGTGTGTAGAGGAAGGCGTGTGTGTGTGTGTGTGCGTATACCTTTCAGTTGGAGTGAGGCTGCAGGAGGAAGGTGCATGTATGCACCTTTTTTCCTGAGCAGTCTTGGCAGAAGGGTTTGTCTAGGTGCAAGCAGTGTCCCCACAGCTCTGAGGGCTGCTGCAGCCACCCAGGTGTGCCTGGGGCCCAAGATAGGGCAGAATGCCATGTTCCCAGGTGTGCCAGGTGGCTGCAGGGCCCCAGCCATGACAAAGGGCCTAGGTGGAGGGGGGTGGCTGAGGACAGACCCTAGGGATTAGAACATGCTCCGTAGGAGGACTCCAGCCTGGAGGCAGTGGGCATGGAGCACTGGGGCCCCTCCATGCTCCACACCTGTCACAGGAAGGCCTGCATATCAGGAGCACTGGGGCCATGTCCTTCTCAGGCCCCCAACCAACCTCCATCACTATCCATGGTGGCAGCCAACCCTGAGGCCATTGCCTCTGGATACTTGCTAACTGGCCCTACACTGCCCACCTCTGAGAGCCCCTCCAGTTAAATCCACGCAGGCTGTAAGGGTCCTGATAGGCAGGACTGGTCCCACCTGCAGGCCAGGGTTGCTCGAGGCTGCCAACTCCAGACTGCATCAAGGAGCCCTCCTGGCCCAGACAGGCAGAGCACTCACCCGACAGGTACGCAAAACGCTTCTTCAGTTGGTCCTGGATGTCGGCGGCGCAGAGCGGGACGATGTCCTGGTGCATGATCTCATCTGCAGGAGAGAACAGATGGCAGCTGTCACGTGGGGAAACTGCACAGGCCCTAGCACCCAGCCAGGAGGGCCCTGCACAGAGCAGGTGTCCCTGCCAGTACCTATGGGGGCAGCCGTCACAGGGTAGAGTGGGCCTTTTAGCCTCTGGTACGTAAGAGCCTTTGTTCATTGGCACAAAACACTGCTTGCTAAGTGGTGCACCATTGATTTTTAAATGTGATGTGTGTCGGGGGACGAGGGAAGGAGGGAAACACACACACACACACAGACACACACAGACATGTGCAGGCAGAGGGAAGACACCAGGGAAACAGTGGCCGAGAATGGGCTCTGACTCCTGAGATCAATCAGCTCTGGTCTCTGCGTCCCGCCCTCATCTGGAACAAGGTCCAGGCAACTCCCAGCTCTCACCTGCTGCCTATGCAATGACCTGCTGGCCTGCGGGGAAAACCCAGCCCTGTGGGGCCCACAGCACTCCTCCGCAGGCCCTGGGCACACCTGCTGCTGACACTGACTATCTTGGGGACGTGCTGGCAGCACCTCCAGCCCACGGGACAGCATCACCCAGGACCAAGGAGGTTTAGTGAGATACCCAATCTGGCCATCACTGCCATGGGCAGTGGGGTGCTAGGACTTGGCCAGAGTATGAGAAGCTGGATGTGTGCAAGTCTCAGGGGACTTTCACACTTCTGAATCAATCTTAGGCCATCACATGCTCTAACTGCATGGCAGCACTGGCAGCCTGCACATGGCAGGGCCCCTCTAAGAGACTCAGCATTCACGCTGACAACTTGAGAGCCTCATAGGCTCACTTCTACACCTTGAAGACCCAGGCCACAAGTATCCAGAAGGTATGTGTCACAGAGACATTTTTAGCTGAAACATTCCACTGGAGGCACCTAGATACTATCTACTTGATATCACCCTTTAACCTTGCTCTCCCGGTCTTGCAGACATACAGATATGAGCCCAGCACCTCAGCTGAGCACACAGGAGCACCCCACCCCAGTATGTCATCTGTGCACCTGCCAAGTGCTGGACCGGCCTGCCTGGAGCTCAGAAGACAACCCTGGTGCAGGTGAGGAAGTGGCCAGAGCCACGAGAGTGGGCACCGTGCAGAACCTCCAGGCAGTGCAGGGCACAGCCCATTTCCAAAGTGTAGCAATGTCTCAGAACAGCTGAGATACGGACTGGACACTGTGTTCTCCTAAAAGGAACAAGTACACCTTATGCACGAAACCTGGGCATCTCTCCTCAGATTTGACTTCTGCGAGGAAGGTCACTGAGATACAGACCACTTGGGAAGGGTCATCCCGAGGTTGCCAGACCTTGTGGGGCTGGGACAGACTGAAGATACTATGAGCTGGCAAATTTTGTACCCTCAGACGGCTTGGCAGCGGGGCCAGCAAGGTCAGTGCCGGGCTGTCAGGCTGGGCTGGTCAAGGCATAGTGGCACCTACCACAATCCCGAGATGCTGCCAACCCCACAGAGGCCCCCAGATCAATGTCCAGATGCTGTCAACCTGCCAGTGTCCAGGCACGATGTGGAGGTTCTGGCTTTGTTCTCAGACCGTATTCTAAGGGCTGTGGGGCAGCACCTGCTCCAGGTCCTGCTCACCTGGCAGTACACATCTTTCCCTTGGGTACACACATGAACTTCCCTGCTGTCCTTCACCTCCTGTGACACAGCAGCCCCTGCACATGTGGTGCTGGTTCCATCAAGGGATGCCAACAGGGGCCTCCTTGTCCACCCCCGTACTGGCCACACAATCCTAGAGTCCCTCACATGGCCATGGTCCTTTGGTACCTCACCCATGCCTTGTCAAGATACTGCTCACCCGCCCCACACAGGTGGCAGGGCCACCAAGGGAACACCCAGGCTGGGAGGGAATATTTCTCCTTTCCCGTGTGTCCTGGAGGGAACTGCAGAGCACGGGGTGTCCCAGGGCATCGTGAGATATGGAGTCAGTGAGCACCCAGGGGCAAGACCTCCCTCAAAACAGCCACCTGCTCCTGCTTACTCTGGAGTCTTCATGATGTGACGGGACCAACCCCAAACTGGGGTGTAAGAGCTGCCCATACCACAGAACCTCCCACTGCCAGGAGGCATGTTAGGTCTAGAGCAGTGGTTCTCAACCTTCCTAATGCCGTGGCCCTTTAATACAGTTCCTGTGGGTCAGGACCCACAGGTTGAGAACTGCTGGTCTAGAGGTCTGCCTGTGGCCAACACCCTCAGGAGATGCAGCTGCTGGGAACAGGGAGCTGCTCAGCACCCCAACAACTGGGGTGCTCCCTCAGCCCTGCACCTCTCCTCTTCAGAGCTCAGGCCTCTGTGTCAAAGCAGGTCACACTGCCCAAGCAGAGCCAGAGACAGCATGTCCCAGCTCACCTTCGTGCAGGCGATGGCTGAGTGGGTCCTGGGGGCTCCTGAGGCTCTGGCTTCTAATCTGCTTTTACGCAGACTGAGCACCTGCCTCTCGGGGAGCCCCAAGCTCAGAGTCCTGCATGTCAGACCCCAGGAGTTCTGTGGCTTCAGCATCTAGGCTAGCTCTCAGGGAACGAGAACAAGTGTGGCTCTTGTGTCACACACATGCACACTGTGTTCACCTGTGCCCACTGCTGTTCAGAAATGAAAGAGGTTCTTCTGGCAGCTTTTTTCTTTTCTCTCCCTTCTAGAATAATTACTTGTCCACATAAAAGCAAAATAACTCAAAGACCCAGAAGGTCAATATAACAGACAGGGCCATCCCGTGGTGCAGACAGGAGGGCTCCAGCAGGACTGTCCCCCCAACTCAGACCACTCTCAAAAGGCCATGGTGCACAAACCAGCACCAGCTTCTTCCAGAAGGCCAGCGGCCCCTGGGAGATGAATGGAGACATATATATTGGAAAGAGGGAAACCGCTTTCTAAGAACCAAGAATACTGTAAACCCCAAAACAGATTACATTAACCTTCAATAAAAACTCCTCTTGGACAAACAAAAACAATAAGCACAGTATGGAGGTGGTCTGGCTTGTGGAGGCCAAGGCAAGAGCTGCCCACCTATGATACACAGGGCACAAGCATCAGTCAGCTGGGACTTGAGGGTCAGCTGAATGATGTAGGCTGAGCTAGCAATAACAACTAGTGCGTGTGTGAGAGAGAGACAGACATACAGAGAGGCAGAGACACGGAGAGAGACAGGGAGGTGAGGCGGGGCTAGCAGGGCCACACACACCTGTGGCCTCCTCAACTGGTGAATGGCAGACTGGAGGAGCTGACCCTAGGTGAGACTCACACTTGCACCTCAGACCTGGCCTTGGACTGCAAGTCTAGCCTTGGGATCCAGCCTGGTCTCCGACAACGAGCTGGCATTGTGGACCCGGCACCAGCTTCCTCCTGGCCTTCCCACCCACCCAGCTTGAGCAGAGGTGCCCACCTCTGTGCCAGTGGGTTCCACAGGGCAGACCAGGGAGCTTTGTTTATCAGCAGCAGGGGATGAGCATGGAGACCCAACCTCTGAACTTCCCAAGGCCCACAGGGCAGTTTCCTGACCCCCAGGCATTCTGCTGCGTCCTCAGATATCTGCTACCACACCTGCTAACAGCTGTTTCTTCATAAACCCAACAAAACATGGAGGGGGTGGGGGCAGGAAAATAGCAAATTGTTTGTAGAGAGTAAAGAAAAGCCCACAACCCTTAACTATGTCAAACTCCCTCAGGACGTTTATTTGAGAGGCCATGTATTATAAACATATATTAGAAAAACACTAAGAATGTATGAAGGGAGAGGTAAAAGTTGCATCTACTTGGAAAACAAATAACCACCTATGATGGTCACATCCCGAAGGGCTGAAGACCTGCACCTCCAATTCTCCTGCAATGAAACACAGGGGCTCTCAGGATGGCGCGAGGTGCTCGAGGACTGTGCCACGAGCCAGAAACTAACACACAGACCTCAGTCTTGTCAAGAGTGAGCGTCTCCTGCTCCTCAGGTAAGACTGCTCACAGCATTGCTACTTTGATGCTGACTTCAGATATGAGATTAAATTCTTCTCCTGACATATATAAGCACTCATGTTACAAGTTTAAAAAATGAATGACTGAGACTTATCCTGAGCCTGAAGACCCAGAGCCCCTCAACCTCACCTGCTCTGGGAATCACTATCAGCTTTTCATTCCACATGCAGTTCTTCATTTTAAAACCGGGAAGTTCAGTTGTTTACTTGTTGCCACTGAGAGCTAAGGTTTCATTAAAATTTACAAAAATACCTATTTTATGAATTATTCATCAATGCTTGGCAGAAGTACCCACTGGAAAATGTGATTATGACAGATGACTTCAGACATATCTCTTCCACCCTAAGAAACTTACCAGGAGCCCAGGCAGAGCCTTAGTCCCTCTCAGCCCCACCAGTCACAAGGGGCCAGGGCCACCTCAGAGCCCCTGCCCCCTACAGAGATGGGCCAAGCTCCCCAGTAAGCCCCCACAGGCCCCCAGGACGCAGCGGTTCCAGCAATCTAGTCTCGAGCTCTGTGGGGACAGCACTGGCCGGTGTCCCTGAGAGGGAGGAGCAAGCCCCTTTCCCTAGGCAGACCCTGGTGCTGTCCTCAAGGCCAAGGCAGCATGTCTATGAAAAACCCTGAACAAAGACGCTCAGTGGGATCCAGCTCAGAGTCCATGATGAGCACAGTGCCCGTCACCCACAAGAGGTCGTCTGGTCTGTGTCACTCCAGAGGGTCCCCCAGGGCTGCGGCCACCTGGGTGACACCCTGCACACATCTGCACCCTGAAGGGGCAGGACTCTCCCTGACACAGCCGGCACCGCCCCCAGCCTGCTTGGGAATTCCCCATGCCCCTTGTGGATTTTCCCACAAGCCCCCAGCCCCCCCTCACCGGGGGCATAGTGCACCAGAACACCCCCAGACTCTCTCGTCTCCGCACACTGCCATCTCTGCAACATCCCACTGCAAAAAGGGCACATTCCCAGGAAAGCGAGGACCCATCCACGCTAGACACA